ACAAAACACGACCATTTTGATCGTATATAAGTATTAAAATCACTTGACTGCTTAAATCCCAAGTTTATCAAAAATTAAAAAGCAAAGAAAATAGCCAGAAAATTCACCATTGAACTGATGATGGAGCTGGTCTCCGAAACGTTTTCTTTTTTAAGAAATGGTGAATTTTCTGGCTATTAAAAGCTTTGCTTTTAAATTTTTGAAAACCCGACCACTTCAGTAGGCTGTTGCCTCACAAGAGTGAAGAGAAGGAAAAGCGTTCCCTCGAGCATCTTGCTCGAACAAAACGAGTCGGTGTCGGCAATCGCCCAAATTGGCCAATTTTATTTTTCATGTCTGCTGCTACATTTTCGTAGATTTTTCCTCACGAACGAAAATAAATAGTTTAGAGGATGGTTCCCCAATTTACTATTTGGCATACAAAAATTTATCCAATTATTGCTACCTGCAGCCTTTTTCCGTCATCAACCCACAAATTTTTCCCCGACTAGAAAATTACAGTGCTTTGTTTAATGGTGGAAGTTTAAATTAAACTTAATGACCTCATCAGAATAAAAAGTTTTCTAAAACGATAGCACCAGTTATTTGAAAATTATTTGCTAGCAACCGAAGATCGTCTAATCAGCATTTAAGTGCGCCAATAAGCAATTGCAGAATCTGTTGACCAGAAATTATGATTATCACACCATATGGAGGTCGGTAAGCAGACAAGAGAACATCGCTGGCGCTGTCGTTCGCATTAAGACTTTTTTTACAAACAATACCATATACTAAATATAATATATACTATATACACTATATACTATATACTATATACTATATATACTATATACTATATCTATACACTATATACTATATATACTATATACTATTAATGGCTGAGCGAGCATCTTATTTGCGCGGGTGTGATCTTCCTTATATGCCACGAGGCCACCTTCGTGCCGCGCGTCTGGCGTGTTGCGCAAAGTCAATATTTCGAGGTAATAAAAAATTTGGTTTATTGGATTGAATCCAAGTTCTTAAAATGTGCATTTATATTTCTTATGTAATCTACCGGAAAATTTTAATAGGCTAGTTTAAAAATTCAAAAATTTAAATTTATTTAAAAATTTAAATTTAACCTAAAATAGGTTAAATTAAAATACTTCCGTGGAAAAAAGGCGAGACAAGAAAAATGTATAACGTACATTTTTGCAACTATTCAAGTATAACAACCGTCATAAATACAAATATGTGCTAGGAAAGCCATAAAATGTTTGAGATTTTTCTGAAGAAAATTCTTCTTGAAGTCGCAAGAAGCGCATATGTTGCAGCTGCTCGATATGAAGTGAATATATCGGATATATCTCACTCCACTCTTCATCACAAAAGTGAGTTTCAATCCGTAAGGCCAGTTTGGCGAAGTTGCTGAAAAAAATTGCGATATCGATTAAGTCGTGTACTTCCTAGCACGAACGACGAGTGAATTGTGCATCGCCCGAACATCTGTCACTGGACACAGTTAAGTTCCACACAATAAATTGTACGAGCAGAGACCAGATTTTCCATGGCTCTGATCATGAAGTTTGTTGCTCTCTGCTACACAAAGCTCGCCTTGATAATGCAAATGTTCTGAGAAATCGTCCAACTGTAGAGTACGCAATGTTAACATTAATTCATATATATTATTATAATATATATTATATTATATATTATAAATTATATTATTATCAAGTAAATGTAAACCATTATGAGGACAGCAGTTCATTCCTTCTTCAGGCACTTATGGATCTGAATTAGTCTTGCATCTGCAATATCACAAATGAATAATTATCTTTTAAATTAATTATGATTAAATTTCAACAAGATGGATAGCGTCAGATTACCCTGAGTTTTGCTACGTACAACATTCAAATTTTAATACATACCAACAATAAAGATCACACGTATTTCATTGTTAAATACTTGCTAAATATGAGCAAACCACGCGGAGAAATTTCATTTGGTATCCAGTAAAACATTCCCGAAGATCGGTCGTAAGATCTATTCTTGAAAGCGCTAATCATATATCGGTAAAAAGGAAATCAGTAACCGAAGAAACCTCTGAAGTGGAGCTTATTTCTCCCTGCAAAATAATAGCTCTGGCAGACAAAGATCGGATATCCGTGGCTCGTAAAATCTCGAGTGGAAATTACAAGCTGCCATGCCGGCGCCTAAAGGCCTTAGCCTCTTAAGCATTCATGCAGGCAGGGCCAAGAGCAGGTGAAAGTGTCTTCTGGTCAAACTGGGCCAAAGTAAACGGGTGTAGTGTGAACTAGTTTGCAATACCAGCTATAGGAAAAAATATCCTCCGATGTGAAATGGGTTGGTCAGTTTTCTTAAGATTTGAATTTTATTCTTTCACGTTGAGACGAATGCAGTACCAGGTATTTTGTAATAGAAATTATATGGTTGACAAGTTAAAAGAACTTACTGTAGTAAGTATGAATATAAAAAAGAAGCGAATCATATCTTGAAGCAAGACAAATTTGAACCAAGCTTCATTATACATCGATTTTTGGCTATTGATCAACTTAGCCTGAAATGTTTTCTCGTGTCTCCTGTAAGCTGCCAGACTTCGACGATTAAGCTTAAGTGGAAGTTAAATCTTAGCTTGCCTGGGCCTATACTTTCAAAAAATTTAAGAGATCGTAAGTTCACCAGCCAATCATTGACGACCTTTAGAGCAAAATCCACCAATCATAGACAAGAAAATAGATCGTAAGTAATTACGTTAACTTAGCAAGTTTTGAAAGTATGGCCCCAGATCGTGTAACTGTGGCCGTACCATCAAAAATAGTTACGGACTCTATCTTTCATGATAAAGATGGAGTCCGTAACTATTATGGAGTCCGTCAATCTTTCATTCATAAAGCCATCAGTCATAGACGTGAAATCGGCCACTATACGTGTACTTATGGGAGTTTTGACTGTACGGCCCCTAGCCTTTAAATATGTGACCCCGACAGAGAGTTACAGAGAAGTGCCAAGAGGACGGGTGAGTCAGGCAAGCATGGATGCCCTAGACTTGATCAAACCAGGCCTTATGGTTCAGCGACTACCAGAGACTATATATGCAGACGCTGACCTTTACATGAAATCACGTCAGCATTGTACGTGGGCAGTCTTCGTCCTTGTTGAATGTTGGGACACTGAATTGTAATTTCGTGTATAAGAATGGACAAGTAAATCTTTCAACCCATTAGATAAGAAACAGGTTTTTAGGAAGATTGTGTCTTGAATGAACACAATGAGATAAGCACCAGCTGTCAATTAACCACTCCCATGTCCATGTACCGAAGCTACACTATACCTGCCATCCAAATGATGCAGAGGACCAAGCTGCAAATTTTTAACTTAGCACAGTTTTAGTGTAACGTCGCCTTCAGAGGACTGTAAATCGTTAAATTAGTACAGTTTTAGTGTAACGTTGCCTTCAGAGGACTGTAAAACTTTAAATTAGTACAGTTTTAGTGTAACGTCGCCTTCAGAGGACTGTAAAACTTTAAATTAGTACAGTTTTAGTGTAACGTCGCCTTCAGAGGACTGTAAAACTTTAAATTAGTACAGTTTTAGTGTAACGTCGCCTTCAGAGGACTGACCGTTCCAAAATGTACTGCCTTCAGCTCCTGGGTTCTCTTTCGTGATTGTATTTGCATGCATGACAGGAACGAGCGATTTATGTAAAAAAATTACTCATGTTCAAGCCAATAAAGGAATATTTAAAGCTGTCTGAAGGAAGGAACTAATACCTGCCGACTTTTTACGGCCGACTTATTTCACTATAAACCGTTAATTAAATCTTTGGCGGTTTATTTGAAATGGAAGCCATCGCTCGCCAAAACTCCATCGGAAACCGCGTCCAAATCAGCCGAGGCGGTACCTATACTATAGTACGCTGTATTCAAACTACATTCGGATTTTTTCCTTATATTAATATATATTGATATTGTTGCATGACACAATAGCGTCATTCAATGGGCAGAAGGTCGATGACACTTCATTCCGTGCGGATCAAGCTTACGGATCTCCAGGCTTGCCTGACTTAGAGATTAACCTTGTATATGAAGTTATTTGTCGCCCACAACCTTCACAATACGGCAGCAAGGCAATTACAAAAATTTTCAACAGCCTTTGATCCGGCGGACATCTTCCGCCAGAAATGTTTTGAAATGATTACAACTTCCATACGGTTTGAAACGTCTGGGTCTATACTCACTGCAGAGGAGACGGGAAAGCGATGTCATTCTGTACACATGGAAAATGATAACCGGAATGGCAACAACCTTCGAAAGCGAGACACAGCATCTGCTCAGCAGCCATAAGGCGATATGGTTCTCTGCCGTTTCATGAGACTAGTCCTTACTGCTTTAATAACGAATTTGTAGCTAACAGTGAGTTGACAAGTTTTGACTTGGCAATAAATTAATGTCATTGGAGTGAGAATAATTAAAATGTCAATTAAACTGTTTGATGGTAATTGCAAAATTGCATGCTTGGATTACTCGTTCTATACTCAATTGGTTTTAATGATTTCAAAGTCTTAACATAGCCTGTTGTACGTGAATAATTATTGGAATTTGCGGGCAGACAGCGGAGAAATTCTCGAGAGGTGAGGGTCACCCGAGGGCAAGCACGTGATGAGGGCAACGCGCTCTCGCAAACAAATTAAGCCTGGAAATAACCTTAATTGGCTGCTACATCAACTTCAATATTTCTTACTGACTATAAAATTATAAATCGTAGTTTGATGAAGATGTTTAAAAACATTTTTTTATAATTTTAAGCGCTTCGCGTCAGCAGAAAGAACTTCGGAAGAAATCTTCAGCCGACGCACAGAACTTCGGCTTCTAATCAAATTGACGTCAATTCCACATTCCGGAACTTTTTGCGAATCATTTTTTACTAATCTAAATTTGTATCTTATTCTTCCGCGCATTAATTCTTAAAAGACCAGCACAAGCAAGGATAAAATTCCTTACCTTTAGCTCGCGGTGCAGGCAGCGTCTCCACTTCTGCAGCAGCTTCAGCAGAAATTTCATCCATGCTGTTCTTGGTCTCGGGAATATCGATCTGTAGTTGCTCTGGAAAACCTGATTCGTGAGCAGTCGAGTCGATGTCAACTTGAGACGAAAATAGCGCTGATGCTGGAGATGAGGCTGGTTGGTCAGTGATAATAATTTCTTCTAAGGATTTCTGGTCAGGATTTCCTTTGGGAATGTCAGTTACAGGAGAGGGCACAATGTCTACTTGAGCACACTCTTCGGCCGGAACTGCATCAATTGGCAATGAAGCTTTAATGTTTTTAATGCTAGAGTGCTTATTTTGGCTGGGTGGTTTGAACGGCGTGATAGCGGTCAAGTGTTTGTTTAACTTGTACGAAGGAGATAATGGGGTTAATTGATCAACACCCAACTTCTTGATAGTCAGTTCAATGTTAGGGATGGGCTCGATGGCAGGAGTACACTTTTCCGAACTATTTTTGTCGTCTGAACTCTCAGTGTTGCTCATGAAACTCGGGAAAACAATGTCGTCTTCATCCTCTCCAATAGAAGTGCGCTGAATTCTCGAAGCCGCGCTCTTCATGTTCAAAAAGCTCATATCCTTCTTCATTTCCTTGCCATTTCTCGAACTAAAACTCTTGCTTCCAACTCCACTAACTGAAGACATTGAATTTGATCGTTTAACCACATTAAACGAAGATTTTTTCGGAACACTGGCATCCATATCCGTTGCAGAAGGCCCTCCAAACCAAGACTGTTTTTTCTTTGTTTTTACTATCATCTGTTTGATGACGTTTTTCCTATCAACCTCCAGATCAAATGCGCTTTGACCGAAATCAAGCATAGACACCTCCGGCAAATTCAAGCTCTCCCTCTTCTTGTTCATCTCTTTGTCATAGGATTCCATGATTGCAAGCCCTAAGTTGCTTTTCAAGTCTTTTTGTAACCCATCGTCTTCTTTTGCAGCTTCGTTCCAAAATGGTTCTTTCTTTTTGCTCGGTGAAGGAGAGTTGGCCTTCGTCGTTGTATTGATAGGCTGGTTAGCGTTTATCCTATGTCCAACTGATTCGCCAGTCACGGAAGCAAGTGAGTTGGGTTCTGAATTGAGAGCCACGCAAGATGCACTAAACACGCCATCGGAGCCATCAGGATTCGAAAATGCCTGAGGCGGTGCTGCTATCGAATAACATTCTTCCATTTTTGGAGATTTTTTCTTGCTCAGACTTGATTCTTGTTTGATTTTCTTTTTGTTATCGGTGGGCAACTGCGCCTTCTTCCAGGTGAGGTTTACAGTCGTCTTACAATCGTTGATTGATTGTTTTGCCTCTTCCGTTTTATCGATCTCCTCCCGTCCCGCTGAACTATTTTCTATGAATTCCGGTCCTGCAGCCTGAATTTCTATGTCAAGTGAGAGGTCTGTTTCTTCGTCACCCTTTTTAAGACCCCAAGTTCCGTCGTCACATATTTCAATAACCTGCTGTCTTATTTGTCGATCGCTTAAGTCATGAAACTCCTTAGTGTTGGTTTTCGCATTATGGATCACACCCACGGAAATGCCAATCCCAGTCTCACTCATACGACGATTTTTCTTCTTACAGGATTTGCTTTTTCGGTAACACTTTTCAGAGTTAGATCCAGAGACATGAAGACTGCCACTTCGCTTCAGGTCTTGTTTTGTGCACGGAGAAATTTTGTCGGAATCCTTCAACTCTATTATAACCGAGTGGCGAATAGATGAAGCACCAATCAAATCTTCTGAATAACTGCCCACATCATCTATGATCCTTGCTTCATCAATTTCGTCTCTGGAGCGACACACCTCCACGATTGAAGAATTAATCGCTTGTATTGAGTCTTCTTCGTCGGAAATTTGCTCAAGAATCGGTGCAGTGAGACTTCTATCAATGTGTGAAATGGAACCCAGTGATTTTTCCAGTTCAAGTTCGGCCAAAACTTCGTCCTCCAGCAGTTCCAGGGCAATTTCAGGCTTGGTTGGCCGAATATCCTCCACCTCATACGATACAGAAACTGTCGTCGCAGCGCGAGAAGTGGTCGACGGCCATTCGTCTATCGAAGGAACATCCTCACTGCCTGAAGAGCCCAAGTCAGACGTTTCCGATCCGTCAACACTGCAGGACTGCTCGGTATGTTGTTCTCTGTTTTTCTTTTTCCTCTTCTTCGAGTTTCTCTCTATGTCTTGCGTCAAAAAATCTGTTAAAGATTCCGCTGACAGAGAGTCGCCACTAATGTCGTCAGCGCATTGACTATCTTCACTTATGCTGCAACATTTGAGCTCTTCGCTCGAAGAATCGATCTCGTTCTCTTGACTTATTGTCCGTGCAAGACTCTCAGGCTTAGGAGGGACTTGAGGACGTCTAGGTACGATGTCATAGAGCGGTTCCTTATTGAAAACTTCATCCAAGGACGCGTCTAGATTTTCATAAATCGGTTCATCAGTGACAGACACGTTGCCATTCTCGTAAAAGTTTTCCTGTGCACATGGACCTTCACTGAAGTTTGGGTAATTTATATTATCTACGACCGGTGAATCTTCGCTGTTGACGTTTTCATCGAAACTATTTACGTCAAGGATTTCTTCTCGGGTGATTTCAATAGCTCCGTTGTCTTCAGTACGTCGATTTTCAGTGTCGACAGTACTTGGCAAATTTCGTCTCTCACTGGAATTCAGCTGGAACTGGACAGCAAGCAATCGCTCAGAAGTCCTCGAGTTGACGGACGCTACAGAATTATTCTTGTCCTTCCAATCTGCTTTGAAAGAGGAGAGGTTAGATCCGCCGTTGGTGGGTCTGTAGCCAAGCTCAGTAACTTGTGAGAGGTATTGGGTCACGGCGCTGTCCAGCTCACTGTTGAACGACACGAAGTTGCTGTTCTCGTTGTCAAAGGTAGTCGCCGTTGAAGGATCGAACACCGGGAACGAAGCAACCTCAGTACTCTGCAATGAAAAAAATGACGTCAGTACATGAACGGAAATTACAAAAGGAATAAAGTCTTATTTTCACAGCTGAAACACCGGATTGCAGTGGAAAAAATCAATTGAGCTAGTAGAAAATTAGAAGTTTATTTAAAATTGAATTAATTTTTAATTACGCAAATAGAATATTGTATTCATAGTAATAAAATTAGATTGTGCCCATGCGCTCAAATTTTGAATTTTTTAATCATTTTATAATTCGTAAATTTCAAGTAAAAATTTCCAATTATCAACACCCCAACATTAACAACAACCTCACCAAATTAGCAACCCCAGTGAAGTTACTTCACCTACAACATAGAATAAAATCTCGCAACGTGCGCGCTAATGAAACGGAGTTGAGGGAACATGCCCTCAGGTTCAATGCCCTCACGCGACATCCGCGCATCGCAAGAGGGTGCCAAGTCGTCAGCTGCTGAGATCAAAGGGTCAAGGCGAGGGGAAACGAAGCTTTTCCAACAGCTGCCAAAAAACTGACAGTGTCAGGTCACTTCACCACATGTCGGGCTAACAAGCTTATTGTTCAACACTCAACAATCTGCTATTTACCATGCACCCTCGCTAATCATGGGACTTAAAAGCAGTTTAAGCGCAGGAAAGCAACGAGAGGCATTCACAGACCCAGGTTATTGAGCACAAACACAAGATTTATGTCTCGTCACAACGATTTTTTGAAAGACCATAAAAATGAGAGCTCGTGCTGCTCAATTACACAAAAAGACCCGAAACAGTAGAAGGAACTGCTACAGAATGTTTTCTTCTATTAGTGTAACTAAAGAGTACGAATTTCCCCGAACCATATGTACAGGTTGCAGTATTTTTTTGACAGTGAACACGTGCTTCAAGCAGTGACGGGTTAATCTCACACTCAGCAAGCGGTGCCGGAAGAATCTAATATTCTTTTAATGTCTTCGTGGGCAAACGTCCATCACGTGGAGCAGCAAACTTAGGGTCATGAACTGCGCTCGCTTCTTCTCTGATGTTACTCAACCCGACGAGCGAGGGATGAAGCGAGAGGTTACTTGTGTCCTCTAACGCAACCCAAGGCATGTGGCAGACGAGCTGATAAATGGCGCAGACGAGCTGAGTAGCGCCGCAGACGAGCTGAGAAGCGCCGCAGACGAGTTGATAAACGGCGCAGACGAGCTGACAAACGGCGCATGCAGGCGAGCTGATAAACGGTGCAGACTATCTGATAAACAGCGCAGGCGAGAAGAGAAGCGCCGCAGACGAGCTAAGTATTGAAGCAGACGAGCTGATAACCGGCGCAGACGAGAAGAGAAGCGCCGCAGACGAGCTAAGTATTGGAGCAGATGAGCTGATAAACGGCGCAGGCGAGAAGAGAATCGCGGCAGACGAGCTGAAAAGCACCGCAAACGAGCGGAGAAGCAACGCAGACGAGCTGAGAAGCGACGCAGACGTAAAAATATGTATTTAATTCTGGACGATTCATTCGTAAAAATAACGCACCAATATACGCGAAAGCGTTCAGAGGGTAGTGATGGCAATCACACTGAGCATTATTTTATGTATCGTGTATCTATTTCATGTAATAACTACGTACACAATACAAAATAGGTAGACAACTTTGAGATGACTAACAAAATCAGATGCAACGAGTTGACATGGCTAATTTGAGTACGATTGAATGGCCGAGAAAAAAACTTCGGTTCTGAATAACAAAGATACATAAATTTAGATTTGAGAAAATCATGCGAAGTGTCACCCATAAGCCAGAAATGTGCGATAGCAAATCCTGGCAAAATATAAGTCTGTACGTGTAGCGAGTGTAGGAGTGACGTTTGCACAAGGCGTCTGCCAACGCAGACCAATTGAGTATGAAAGTTAATAAATAATTTAGTAAACGAATTACTATTTTTAATTATGTTTTATAATTATAACGTTATGGAATATGAAACATTCACATGTTTTAATGCAAGCAATAACCTATAAGTCACCGAATAACTTCCAATATAAAATTTTTCATATAAATGAAATGAGATTTTAAAATTACATATTTGCAGCCTGAGAAGAAACAATAGTTATAAATTCACACAAAATAAAAGAATTTATTTCTCGCCCTACCACAAGAAATTTGAAGCCCAATACTTGTTTTTTTTTTTTATAGGGAGCATTGAAGTCGTGGGTACTCCAGAAACACATGCAGTAACACCCGTTGCCAGAGCTGAACATGTTGCGGTCTATGTGAACTGAACTGATGGGCGTGGTGCAGGCTGTGTTATGTGCTCAGTAGTAGTATTGTAACGGGTGAAAATATGCAAAATTAATACGAGATAATGAAACAACCGTCATCTCTCACTGCCAAGTAACAGAGAATACGCCGATAAATATGCTGATATTATTCCTTGTTGATTCGAACACGCATATTGAAGAAATATTTTTTATTAAAGGTGTATATTACAAGCAGATTCATGCTGAATCAAGCAGCAAAAGTCGTTATTCGTGTATTATGATAGTTTGCTAGGATGATAATACTCACACCTCCCAAAGCTACGCATCCTACCTACAACAGTGCATCAGTTCGCATCATTTCACAAATCGTTTACTGTGTGTGACACATCAGCCCTCGAGCCATATAGCGCTGTGTCCATACTCGTCAACACATCAATCCTCTCATTACACAACAACGAAATGTACAAACTATTGTCATAATGCATCAAAGAACGGAATAAGATATGCATGGCTGGCCATATTTCAGTCGGAAGTGATGGTGACCTCGGGTGGCTGTGTGGCGGCGGGTCAGGCGAGCGTTCCCAGCATCTCAGCAACACGCTTTCTCCAGCCTCAGCCATGTTGTCTTCCTATGCCTTACGCAATCCCTGCATGACCACAACAGCCCATCCACATGACCTGGTCGATACGCACGGTTTTGTGAATGGACCATCGACTCTGGCGTAAGTATTTCTGACGCAGAGAAAAGCTCAGAACTTCGTAGCGAATGGCCACGGGTTTCGTTGAGTTCCGACAGTTAGGCACCGTTTTTGGAATCATTCACCGATGACCAAATTAACATTAAATTGTCTAATTGACAAGCAATTATGAGATACAGAAGGCGCCACCGTTTTTGTAATCATTCCATGACCAAATTAACTCTAAATTGTCTAATTGATAAGCAATTGCGAGATAAAAGTGGAACACTTTTGAGGAGGGCGATGGAGATGTTGACAACTGTGTAGAATCAACTAATGATTGACGAATATTTCAGTTACTTTAAATAATGACAAAATAGTAATTTTATTTATATACTAAATTCGACAGAAATGTCATATTCTGGACCATTCTACAAGGGATGCGACAAATTATGCAGACATGTCGTGTTCTATTGATTATTGCCACCAACATCTGATTACACAAATTAATCCACAAGGTCGAAATGTTTAGCATGCAGTCTGTTCCTCGTGCCGGCGCCTGGCATGAGCTACAGTCTGTTCCTCGTGCCGGCGCCTGGCATGAGCTACAGTCTGTTCCTCGTGCCGGAGCCTGGCATGAGCTACAGTCTGGTCCTCGTGCCGGCGCCTGGCATGAGCTACAGTCTGTTCCTCGTGCCGGCGCCTGGCATGAGCTACAGTCTGTTCCTCAAGCCGGTGCCTGGCATGAGCTACAGTCTGTTCCTCAAGCCGGCGCCTGGCATGAGCAACAGTCTGTTCCTCGAGTCGGTGCCTGGCATGAGCTACAGTCTGTTCCTCGAGCCGGTGCCTGGCATGAGCTACAGTCTGTTCCTCGTGCCGGCGCCTGGCATGAGCTACAGTCTGTTCCTCGAGCCGGCGCCTGGCATGAGCTAGGCTGTTCCTCAAGCCGGTACCTGAAGTAGTCGAATAATGACGGCAATATTTGCCATCCTGGGCTCCGTGCAAAGGTCAGCAGTTCCGAATGCTTGGCTTGAAGAGGTCGTGTCGCAACCGCGGTTGTGGGTTACGCAAATCAAAGTGTCGGGTCGTCATGAAGAACGTGAGCGATGCGCAATGCAATTGCCTATCAAAAAATATCCGCTCGATACTTAAGATGAAAATGAATGGACCTTTACCGTCGCTATCCTTCTATTGCTTCAGTTCCATTGTTGTTGATGGTTATTTGCGGATGAATGTTCTTTACCAATAAAACAAAATGAGGCGTTACATTTTCGTGAGAAATAATTCTCAGAAACGAATAAAAAGTTGTGTAATGAATTCTTTTTACGACTTTAAATAATCAAAGCAAATAGGCATGATATTTTCATGAAATACAACAGTTAATACCCTAATCATATGTTAAAGTGTTTGATTATTCTAATGCAAACAAGACTTTCGGGTTCTTCAGCCCGGCCAAAGGTTAAGCGAGGCAATCTATAACCTCGGCGGAAGACAGTGAAAGTCAATTTCGCCTCCTAGGCTGAGCGCGCCGATAGTGGCGGCATAGGCAACCGCAAGTTGAAAATTTAGTCATTAACAATCATAGCCAACTGTGAGTACAGGGAAAATATGTTTCCAAATGCAACTTTTAAATTAAATGAAATCCTTGACAATTCACGGCCCCGCGTCTCGTCGCCGGATAAAGCATCGCTCCTGCAGACAGCGTGTGCGTGTCTTAACTGCGAGTCTCGAAATAAATAACGGAAGTGAAACTATGCGATGAATGAAGCATAAGTTACTATCCACTTTCCATACAGCAATGAAGCAAAAAAACTCAATTTAAGCACCCCAAAACCCCTTGTTATATCTAATACATAGCTTTTCAATTATACAAGTTTGGTAGCGCTTGCAAGTATTTTAAATGCCAGACATGTTTGCACGTCCACACAGCGTCAATTGGCTGTGTGTTAAGTTCCACTCCTACTTGCACGGGGACCGATTTCAGAAAAAATATTAGCGACAAAACTATCAAAATATTTGTATTTGTGCAAATACCATTGAAAAATGTGCGCGAAAAAAAAGCTTGAGAAGCGCGGGATAAATTATAACGAA